GTGTTATCTTTCTAATATGCACACACTGGTGTTTGTCTTCACAGCTTAGATTGTTTCACAGGAGAATTTTCTCAATTATCCAAGCTGGTGCAGAGCACTTCTAAACCCAACAACCTCAGTGGCTGAGGCTGGATCTGCTTCTGCATATTTCTGAATTCTGGCTGTTCCAGCCAGCAGCCAACTATGAAGACACTGAGTGGGGTCATTCTTCTCACAGCTGGAGCTCTAAAAAGCACAGCAGATATTCCATAAAATCCCAGAATAAACAGCACTTAACAGCCATTTCTCATCTGCAGAAGATGGTGACACTTTTCCATTCTGTCGTGGTTTATCCCCAGCCAGCAACTAAGACGCACACAGCCGCTCGCACACTCCCCCGCAGTGGGAAGGGGGAGAGATTTGGAAGGGTAAAAGTGAGAAAACTCACGGGTTCAGATAAAGACAGTTTAACAAGAAAAGCAAAAGCCACGCATGCAACAAAAGCAAAACAAGGAATTCATTCGCTACTTCCCATCAGCAGGCAGGGGTTCAGCCATCTCTGGGAAAGCAGGGCTCCATCATGCAGAAGGGTTACTTGGGAAGACAAACGCCGTCACTCTGAATGCCTTCCCCCTTCCTTCTTCTGCTCCCCCTTTTATATGCTGAGGATGACATCATGTGGCACAGACTATCCCTTTGCTCAGCTGGGCTCAGCTGTCCCAGCTATGCCCCCTCCCAACTTCTTGTGCCCCCCCAGCCTCCACGCTGGCAGGGCGAGGTGAGAAGCAGAAAAGGCCCTGACTCTGTGTGAGCACTGCTCAGCAGCAACCAGAACAGCCCTGTGCTACCAACACTGCTTTCAACACAAACCCAAAGCAGAGCCCCATACCAGCTACTATCGAGAAAATTAACTCTGTCCCAGCCAAAATCAGCACACATTCACACTAGACTGGAAAGGCCTCGTTTATGCTTCAGTTGTTGCTATTTCCATATATGCAGAACAGTATTCCTGGTGAAAGACAATCCTGCTGAGTGGGTGGAACCAAATCCTGAAGAGCTGGGATGATCAACACTATTTTCTATAGATTCCCTGTGACGAAACAGGCTTTCACAGAACTATAACAGGAGCCTGTGTTCACTCTCAAGCACTTGGAAATGCAAATGAGGTAGGCCATAAAAGACTGAACGTGGTTTGCAGTGGTGCGTTGGGAAGGTACCACTCAGTGTGCTAATGGCCCATGTCTAACCAGTTCTCAACTGGCCGATCAAAAGTTGGTACTATGTTGGAAATGGGCAAGACTAATAAAAATATGCTTTCTTACATGTTATGGACATAAGTTATTAATGACTTCAAACTATTAAACTCTGCGTTTCATAGAAAAGATTTCCGATACCTTACTGAGGTCAATGTCAGCAGCAATACACTTGCAAATTGCCAATGAAAAGGAAGAGATGAAAAGGGCATTATTCCACTTAGCTGCGCTTTGTTAAACACAAGGGCAGGTTCCAGAACTCAGACCAGGGATGGAGAGAAAAGACGCATGATGCCAGCGTGGTAAAGAAACTTAATCAGGTCCAAGTGTCGCTCTGCACAATTATCAGTAAGGTAACTGAACGCAGGGCATCCACTACAGCTTTCCCATCACAACTAATGGTGGACTGTGATGGAGCAGGGAAAGTTTTTTCCATACGGTAGGTAACTGCTATGACAGACTGCTCTTTCACACTTTCCAGGGCTTCTCCCCAGGAGACTAAACCTGTCATCTGTTCTAAGGAGGAAATATGCCACAACATTTTAATTTCCTGGCCTATTTGCTAAACGCGTAGACTGTGGAAGCAGCTTTGGTTGATCACCACTAAGTGATATACAAAATATCCTTTTAGTGAGTGTGGTCCTTGATTTTTTTGTTCTTACAGGCTTCCTCCCTTTCATTGCTTGTCTATTGCTTGAGTCATACCTTTTCAGAGGAAAAGACTATTACAACACGCAGATAAAACAGTCTGACAAAGCTCAGAGGGTAACACAAGAACACCAAGGTAATTCAGCATGGTAATAAGTCAAGAAATGCAAAGAACTGTAATGAATTCATCAGCAGTGTCATGCTGTAAAAGAAAGTTATCAGCCCATTTTTCTGGATTGCATGCAGAGGCACAAAGAGATTAGAAGTTCGTCTGCCCTATACTGAAACGCAAATAAGTAGTGGAGCTGGGGAGGGTTCAAAATCTTTCTGTGCCTGAGCAGCTCACCTTTACTTTGGCAGAAACCTAGTCTTTGGAGAACTTACCATTAATTCTAGGTTGAAACAAGACAAACTGTCCTAATGAAATATCTTACCGTGTACTCTGAACATATCTAATCTCCCTTAGGAAATGACCATTGACTTGGGCAGACTATTCTTTCTTCATTCCGTGTTAACGTGCTCTTTAATCATCACCACAGATTGTCTTGGGAAATGCTAATTCTATAAACCACCCTTCCTTTCACTTAACGCACGCTCAGGGTTTAGTCTGCGTTATCCTGAAGGCCGTCCTGCTCTGAAGAGGACCCAAATTCTGTCGCTGCTACTGGGATGAATTTGCCAGCAGGACCCCACGCAGTAATAATCAGCTGTCGTTTTTCCACACTAACACTCGTGCATGATTTACGCAGTGTGCAAACTGTAACAGCACGTTAAAAGACCTGCAGGATCACCTTTACACAAGCATTAGGAGGCACTGCTCAACAACTTTTCTGCGGCGGGAGCAGGTAGAAGCAGCCTTCAAGCTCTGGGTGAAACCCCGATTCCAGAGCCCAGCTTGTACTGGCCGATTATGGGAAGGCAGCACCGAAATGGAAATCGCACACCCGGCGCTGCCTCCCGGGGGTGCCGTCTCTAGGTGCTGCTCCGAAAACACCGGGCTCTTGACGGGAGCTCCGCCAGCCCCCTGAGCCCCCATCCTTCCCCGCCGCCGGCGGGAGCGACCGGGACCCCCCCC